ATTTCCAAATTAAGATGTATTTCTTTCCACTTCATTGTTTATGCAGCAAAAATATATTTAATTTTTAAAAGTATCGTAGAGATACGCGATTCTTTGGATTCCTCCTAATTAGTCTATATCTTCCTGTTATGGATATTAGTGTACTTGACGTGTATAGCTTCGCCTAATGCTACTTGACAATCGATTGGGGTCGCGATCGGAATGACAGTTTCGAGTTTCTGTTGCCAGAATTTAGTTCCATTAATGAATTCGCGTCATATCGGCGAAACAACCGCGACTATTTGAGTTCTGGTCAGGTAGTCTGCGTCCCAGGAGAGTTACCTGAGAGCTCGCCGAACAGATGGCAATGTGTTGCTTTTTAATTGGATTGAATTCTACAGATCGGAACTTGCTATAGCCGCGACACGTATGGCATATATTAAAATCGACCGTTCCTCGTCACCCTGGGAGTTCGATTATATTTATTGAGTGACGTCATTCGCAAAGCACTACTTTTGCGTGACGATGTTCTGCGCGCCGTATTTTTTTTTTTTTAGATAGAATATCTACTGAACTTATTATCGAAAGTACATTGGTTGCCTCAGTGCGCATTATCAAACGTAATTCCTCAAATGCTTACCTGATGACTTTTAAACTAATTGAAGTGAAAAGGATAAACGACGTCTAATCTGTGTCCATCTTCATTTGAAGATATATTTTCTACGATATATTTTCAGTAACGCATTGAATAATTAATTGATTGATTAATTTAAATAGGATGTTGTTGAATAAAAAATTGCTATTGATTATAAAAATGACTGGTCGTATCATAAAGTTATTACTGTAAAAACCATCGCTAAAAACTGTTACTTTCAGAGAAAAATAAAATTAGTTTACTGAATAAATTTATAACTTATAATATATGAGATATCAGCTTCCATCAAATGATCTTCTACAATAGATTTCAATTTTTAATAGAAAATATTTTTATAACTAACTCGTAAGTTATAAAATACTCCAATCCTCGAAACTCAATTTTCGCATAAGACTCGTTAAGTTTCAATCGCTTATTGTATTTCTAAAATTTATTTTTACTGTTCAAAAGCTCTTCATTTTTTTCTAACATCATATTCGTGGAGAAAATCATATGGTATTCCCGAATTAATATTTAATATCGTCGAATTAATACCTAGCCCGTTTAAATAGAGAACTATTACATAGATACGCTCTTACCTCGAATACGCTACGGCCTATGCAAACAATAGAGATCGATATATACATATACTGTGCAACAATTGGGGAAACTTTGGGAAACGCAACGGGACATTTGACCCATTATAACGGAGCATCACTCGATTCCGAGATCGCGACGCGAGCAGAACTGTAACCGATGTTTGAGTTCCGGTCAGGTAACACACGTACCCCAGGAGAGATACCTGACCTGAGAGTAGACTGCGGGAGTTATCGTGTACTTGATCCTCCTCTCGCATTCCAAAACGGCGGCACTTCGCTCACTTACCCGTAGAGACACTGCTGGTGGAGTTTGCGTTAAAGTTTCGCCACTTCTCAATTCCCGATTCTTCCTCTATGTCCTCCAAACTTCCTTCCTTCGTTTCTCTCTAGGCCTCTGACGTCGATACGCTCCGTTCACTCGAACGTTTTGCGGAAGATAACGTTGGAGAACACTCTGACGTTTGCTCTTCTTCATTCTTCTCTTCGTCTGACTTATCTATTATCTATCGGTCTCTATCATAAATGTAAGTATATAAACTGCGCGTTCTCTAATCTTAGCATCTGTGCTCTGTTAGAAAGAATTGAACGTATCAGCATCTCTATTCAACTCTATATCTCTCTTCAACTCGATACTTTGAAGAAAGAGAGCGATATGATTCAAGCTACTTCACTCTTTCGAAATCGATATCTATTCTCATCACGTCTATCTATTGTCTTCGTGCATAGTCTATTGTTAAAGTACACTCATTCTATCATTTCGAAACGTCAAGAGAATTGTCCCTATCGCTTTTTTATCGATTTTGTTGACTTATCGTTCTGTTGTTTTGTCATTTTTTAATTTTTTATACACGTAGACATTGTTACGAGTTTTACTAAATAATTAAAATGTGCATTTGACATTGTTAAATTAAATTCATAGTTCGATGGGCAACAATTTAATATTAAAGAATAACAATTTTTTTTACAATATAACAAACAATATTCTGTGACGCTTTGCTTTTCATGCAGTTCCTACTGTTCTTTGGGACATTTAATTTCTGGATTGGATTAAATACGTTTACGCGCACAGTTCTCCCTCGCTTTTTCTCGCCTCCTCTTTGCCATGGCGAGCCGCGCCTCCATCCCTTCATGGCTGCTACCGGAAGTTAAACGAAGAGGTAATCCCGTGCAAATATCTCGGAATCAGCGATAGTTCCACCAACTTACGGGCGAACTTTCCGCGCTCGGGTTATCGCGCATAATATATTGTCCGCCGAGTGGAATATCGTGTCGCGGCTACCGCCGACGCGCCACAAACTGGAACGAGCAAAACCAAAAATTTTTCTGTCCTGTAGTTTAAGGGACCTTGACCCGCGCGAGTTTAAGGCAAATTTGCACGCTTGATATCAACGATCTTATGGAACTATTATCAGCCAGTTTCTACCATTGTATTGGATCAGGGCAAAAGTTCGTGCTCGATTTATTATTCAAACTTCAAACAGCTGCTATTTTTGTTAAAAATAAAATAAAATCTGAATCTTACTCTATCTAATGAGAAAATTTAAGAATCTATTTTTTTAAATTGTGATAGTTTTGATAGAGTTATGAGCAATCAAAAGTCAAAATATTTATTTTATTTTATTTGTAACAACTCAATAAACAAAAAATCGTAGGAACATTTTTAAAAAACGATTTTGTAGAGAAAGCTTTCATAATAGTCAAAAATTTGCGCAAATTTTTTTAGGCACGCTACAGACTTAAAAGTAAAAAGGAAGTTCTTAATTTTTTCAGCTCATAGTTTTCAATATGTTAAAAATTACAAAATTCACACAAATTAAAAAACTCAAAAAATATGATAACCATTCGAAAGTAGAGATTTCAAGCTTTAAAACTTTTTTTTAAATTTATTTTCATTTATTTTTAACAAAATTGCAGTTGTTTAAACTTTGGATAATAAATCGGGCGCGAACTTTTGCACTGATCCAATAGTTTAACTTTAATCTCGGTTCAACTAATCTTCATCTTTTTCTAGTTCTGAAAATTAGATGAAGAGTTAGTGAAACCGAGATTGAAATTGAACTACATTTGGTAGAACATTAGTGATACAAATAATACAAAAAGTATCACATGAAACGTAAATCAGATTCTTAAAACGGGATTTGTATAAATATAACCAAACCGCTAAAAATATTAAATATTCGTTTTTGTGCAGTCTCCATCTTTTTTAAATTTAATTTCAATATAATTTATTTTTAAAAAGTATATCTATATTTTTATCTTCGATACGTATGAATCAGCAATAAATGGTATTGCTGTTCGGGGAAAAAATGTAAAAGAGAAAATATATATTTTCATAGATGTATAGACAGACCTATAGACATCTCGGAAAAATTGCTTTTGCAAGCGCGAGTTGAGAGTGAATTCAAAGGTCCCAGTCATCATGCAGTCGATACGCTGACCCAACTCACCGTTCTTCTATTTCTACGAAATATTTTATGTCCCCAAATGTACGATGCACGCATATAGAAACCGCAGAAATAACTTTCGTCGAGCGAACGTACTTTGCGAAAGGAAAACGCCATTGGAACTGGAATTTGTTCGGAATGAAATTTTCACAAACAGTGCTCGCTCGATGGGTTTTTCTCACCCATCTACGAGTATTCAACGGACGATGGAAAATTATACAGTGCGATCCACAATGAGACAGTATAACTTTAAGATTCGATTTTGTTAGTTTATAGATGAAAAGCTTTATATACGAATACGGTTAAATTCTGAATCGAAAATTATGCGACATATATTCTCCTGGTTGTAATATTTTTCAAAAACTCAATTAAACTGAGCAAAGTATTTATCAAAAAATAAATTTACATTATAAAAGAATCCTGGATATTGAAACAAAAGAACAAATTAAAAGACGATTGACTTTTACATCCTCATTCGTCCTTAATTTATCTTTTTGTATCAAAGTTTACATTTTTTTTTAATTTTTATAAGCACTGCTGTTATTTTCCTTTCATATTGTATGAATAATATTTTTGTATATATTTTTGAATATATATCTTTTTTAAAATTTAAGTAGTCGCAGTTTCACGACTATATGAAGAATCTCACGAAACTATTTTTGAAGACGACTCCCAAGATCGATCGGTCATATATCCGCTGCGTACCTTCGTGAACCATCCTGTACGTTCCATATGTGTAATATATGATTCGGTGACGAATATCGTCGTGGAATCTGGGCCACCGGATTGGATTCCGCGCGAAAAGAGACGACGGCGCCGAGTTGCATATCGCAAGTCGTGTCCGCGCGTCTTTTCGCGTACGTGCACGCGTGCATCGATTCACATCTGCAACCGACGTATCCTTCGTACGTGCAATTCCGTACCGCTCAGCGGAAACGAGTAGCGAGATCCATCTCGAGCTACGATTCGAAATTACTTGGGATGGAGCGCCGGATATCGAGAACTCGGAGAGTGATCGTTATCGCTGGAATAATTAATCCATTGCCCTACCTCCTTGATTTGAACCGTCGACTGCAGATCGTTGAAAGTCGATGCAGCGAACAAGTCCATGGAAGCATTCCGCAAGCTGTATCTCTTAGGTATTTCAGTTGAGAGAAAATATTACTTTCTATTTTATTAAATTACTTAATAGAGTTAAAATTAATAGAATTACAAAAAAATATCGAAGAAATATAAATAATTATTTTATTTATAATAAATTTAATTGTTACGATGCTTTTTGAAATAATCTGGTTTAGATCTTTAATTGAATGATAAATTACATTCAATAAACTTGATGCTTCGTCTGTATATAATACGTTTAACATTTAATAAAATTCAAAATATTAAATTATTGGTACACATTTAATTTAACATGACGATTCCTACTTTCTATTTTTTGTTCTTTAATCAAAGGAATCAGGATCGAAATTTCGTGTTCAGTTGGTGCATATTGAATTGCAATTTAATTTGATTAATAAGTTTTGATCAAAATTGGACGTTGACATTGAATGTATAATAACTTTCATATTAATCGAATAAACTCAGAATTGCTCGACTACATATAACTCGAAATGTGTTGCGAAAGTATGAATTATTTTTCTTGAAAAGAAAAAAAATAATTGAAAAACACCCATTTTTGATGCAGAAGCAGAAGTTTCAACTAAAGTTCGCCGAATGAATCGATATCACTTTCGCTATTCAAATCTTTAATCGAGTGCGCGCAAGTCATAATAAGCGACACAAAGTGGCGAACTTTGGCAAAATCGTTACTTTAACGACGCACAAAGTATTCGAGCCTGTTTCGGATACAAATGACGCTTAAATCGCTACAATGATATAAGCTCAAAACGAGAGAGGAATAATTATTTCTATTTTATAAAAAAAAAAGCAAAATGCATAAGAGGAATAATAAATCTAATCTCTTTCACGACTGTTTTAACGCTATTCGCCGCTTATACGTTCCTGATGCATCGTTGAAATTAACTTTCCTGTCTGCGCAGACTGCAGAAAGCGTTCGCTCTAAACTCGTTCGTGCTGTGACGGCTTAATAGTGCGCGAATGATATTACCAGTTACCAGAAATTCCGAATGCAGTTTTACGGCGACAGCGAGGTGGTTCAAACTGCAGATATGTGAAAGTCACATCTGGCTTGGGCCATCACGCCGCGTTACGTTAATGTGCGTCGTCGCTTTTGCAGATAAATTATAAGCGCAGGTAGTTATCACGACGCGACGTGTCTCAGCTACATCGACATGACGAGCAAACCTGTGTGTGCCTTTTGTGCGGTGCATCATGGATAGAAAGTAACGTTGTGAAAACTGGAAGAGCCGATAGACGTACAGAAGCGATGTCTGCAACAGAATTTAAACCATCGTATGAATCAGCTATTCTCTATTTGTTTGAAAAAACTAAATGTAGTTTTTAATAATATATAAACGATACGACAAAATTTGCATTGTGAATGTAGCTTTTTGTAAATTTACTACAAACTTTTTTCTATTTTTTTTTTTCTGTAATATAAATACGGATCTCTTACTTCGAAAAAGTGACACAAAAATTAAGTTTCAGAAAAGGGAAAAATTATTTTTCAACTTGGCAAAAATTATTGACTAATGAAATATAATGTCCCAGTGCAAAAGAATACATCTTTAACATCAAATATCACTTTCGTCTTTTTCGTTTCGCAATGAAATGTAAAAACGACTTTTATAAAAATGAGCTTTTTCGAGGTGTAACGCTTGTCGATTTTTATGAAATTAAATTAATTCACTTTTAATGATAAGATAATATTTGTCTAATTCACAGTCTCGTTTATAATTCAAAAACTATGCTTTTTTAGTTAGATCACTTTTGAAGTAAGGGAACAATACAATTTTATATTTGATTATATGTTTCGAAAACGTTGCTCGAGACCAAAATGTTCCGATGCAATTTATCTTTATTGATTATTGATATCATAACAAATATACACACATCGAAAAGATGCTTCCACCGAGTGTTCGCATTTATCCATTTTTCTATAACCGGATGTTCAATGGAGCCTCATTTTCTAGCGATCGCACGATTTTCAAAGAAGATCACATAAGACATTTTGCACCCATGGTCCCTTCATTTCTGCGACAAATTCGCTGTCCGTGCCTGCGAAGTCGAATGAGAAGTGCGAAGAAGAATCTCCCTTCCCACTCTCTTCCTCGAAAATTTTTCAACCATCGTATTTTAAGTTTTCCCGCATGAAGAATTTCATTCTTCAAGCACTATCTCGGTACTTACATACTTGGCGAAGTCTGTGACAGAGTATTTGGCAAATTACACATCTTTTTCCTATCAAGCAAGAAAATGATCAATCATTGTCATTTTAAGGCATCGGTTTGAAAAGAATTCGGAAAAGCTCGCGACATTCTGTAATTTTTTTTTCCATTTTTGTGACAGTCCGTATTAATAAAGTTGAATGAAAATGACAAACAAATGCCCTATTGTTTTTATACTTTGATTTTAAATTTCTCGCGTGATAAATCTCATTTCTCATATTCCTGATATATCCTTAATTTACGTGAAAATAAAAACGAATTTTTATCTTTATAGAATCGATTGAGAAAAAAGTATAGTTAATTTTAATAAATATTTAGTTCAAAATATTGCCACCTAAATTTACTTACAGTAAATAAATATTTATTCAGTGAAAAGAATGATTGTTAAATGAGAGAAATTAATGTTTCTTGTATCAAATAAATATATCTTTATATTTAATAAATATTTAGTTAGCAGTATTCAACTAAATATTTATTAAAATTGACTGTATTTTTTCTCAGTGCGAGAGAAGATGACTTTTTTATGTCATGATATATATTCTACTTTTCGTTATTCATATCTTCTTAAACACCTTAATATTCATCCAATTTCTATTTCGAAACATGGAAAGGACAGTTTTGCTGTGGTATATAAAAATTTAACTAGATACAGGTCTGAAAATAATTTTGATCATCAAAATAATTACATAGGACATGTAAACTGAAATGCATGCTAGAATGTCAGAAACTCTTTCCAGCATGCCCATTACGCTTTAGATTCCGACATAATTATTTTGATGATCCAACGAAGTTATTTTCAGATTTTATCTAGCTAAATTTTTACACACTTCACTAAAATCGTTCTTTCCATGAACGAAAGTGACTTCCTGCGTGTCGTTTTTCCGGAGCACAATATCTCTTCAGCCTGACGCTTTTCCGAGCTTACCGGCGCGGAAAGCTCCATTCTTGAGCGTGTTGATATTTATTTAATCCGCGTGAAAATGCAGAGCAGAGAGTTTACCATCGACTTATGACTTCCGAATTGACGTTCGAAAGTCGATGATCCGTTCATCGGATCGACTCCCGCACACTCGACCCGGCGAATTCAATGGCTGCAATATATACGAATCTCGACCACCAGACCGAATCCACGCGAATGTCGGGGACTTTCTATTGGCACGGCTTATTCGTCGCACCAATCTTCCGGTTTCTCTCGTGCGTGCAGGCGCACACGCGTTTCTCCATTTTCCATCCCACCTGATCGAATAGTCCCGTTTGCACCGCTGAGTGGCACAGCCACTCTTCCGGCATTTGCCACTCGATCTCCAATTTCGCTCTCGCGATCCACGCTATTCCGCGCTGCTTTTCCACCGAGTCGAACACCATCCTATCCTCACCCTACCGCTCTCTTCATACGCAATCCTTCCTCGTCTTTCAAGCATCTGTAGGATTGCATCTCGTCACCCCTTTGCAAGCGTCATCCATTTCGCAAACCTCTGTGCAACGCGCGGATTCGCGCTTCGCAAAGCGTATTCAGCGTGCTCGCGTCATTTGCTTTCCAGTGAACTCCTCGTGAGAAGATCGAAGATGCAGAAGAGGATTTACGAAAGATTGTAGAAGTCGCGCACATTTCTTTTCACCTGGTTATCGAATCTGCAGACGATATTGTACTCGTTCGGAAAGAAAAGAGATGAGTTTCGAGAGTAACGATATTATAACTGAGCATTTTTTAAATATTTATAATAAATATTACACGTTTGCAATGTGATTTATTTATTTTATGTATTATGCAAAATTTTCAATTTATTTTTTCGAAAATGTATTTTTTTTTTTTAACATAAAATTTGACAAAGTACGGATACAATTTTATTTAAGATGAGTTTATATATTCAGTCTCTCTATTAATGTAATACATTTCTAGAAAAACGAGAAGAGAAGAAAAAACTGGGACAAAGGAAATAGCGGAAGTAATGCCGGAGAAAGAGCCTGCTTGCTCACGGTAGCGTCGATTTTATCCAATCAGCGATGCCTTTAGTACTAATCAGCAATCGGCCTCTTGACTTCCGATGAACGGACGGGCTAATTACTGATCGGGATAAGACGCCAAAGTGGTAGGCGTGGCAATATGTGCGTGGATTTTTATTCACGCGCGTGTTCTATAGTAACACGATTTTTTTCCTTTCTCGTTCTTCTTCGTTCATTTTCAAGATCACGAGCAATACTATTATCGCGAAAGAAGGAATTAAGGCTACAAGTATATCATTGCAACAATCGAAATGAAATTGATCTAAAAATTCTGATAGAGTGTCAGTGACTGTCAAAGTCAAAGACAAAATCAGGTAGACTTGTTAAATCATTTTATATATGTCTTCTATATCTTAAATTTTTCTGCCGGATGGTATAGAATTTTGCAACAGACAAAAAGTGATATTTTATTTATAGTTCCTCCGAGAGGATTGCGCACGAAATTCACAACGAGAGCAAGAATACAGAATTTTCAATTCAACTAAGGAAATTAAAATATGAATAAATTATGACTGTACATCAAAGTTTAACGCTTGTGAGCGATTTTTGATAAAAAGAAACAAGTTTAAGCTACGCTGCGTTTTAACTCACGGCAAGAAATTCTTCAAGAGAAATCTCGCAAGCGAAGAAAAGTAGATTCATTTTTAAGGGTTAATGCTTGGACATTTCCGAATGAAGGGAGCTTATCGCGCTTATCTGAATCGCGAATGGCTAGTCGCGCGCGAGATTGGATCGTTACCGAAAAGCAAGGGACATACCCGTAAGTTCCTAACAGATACGCCAAAAATAACGTCGGAATAAAACGGGATCCTCCATTACCGGATTCGCGGAAGAGGTTCATGCGGAGGTTATCTAAGCCTCCCCACCGCCGTTATCTTAATGGCACTTATTGTCTTGACGTATAGTACGTTTCTCTCGGTCTCACTCTGCCTCCGCGATTCCTCTTTCAGCTCTATCCTTTCTACTTTCGCGCGCATTAAGCTTCGCGAGGGTTGCGAGAAGGTGCACCACCGCTGATGCCAGTCGTTATCGCGAGAGCGCTGAATGCCATTCGTTCTCCGTCTTTCATTCACCACCAGGAATTATACAAACTTGACAGCGTATCTCTGTTTTCAGATTCGCGTAAATTGAACGTTGAAACTTGGACAGAATTAAGAAAGTGAATTTGAAATGTTATTACATTCTCCTGCGATAGTTCTTACAGCTTTTACTATTCCAGCGCGATAGATGTAAAGGTCGTTAATTTAGAAATTATTTCAAGCTGAATTACGTTTTGTGACTGAATAAAGTTTTGTTACTTTTGCACGCTTGAAACTTACCTCGCAAAAAGCGATTTATTTCAGTTGAGGTACCGGAAGATTATCGATCGAAACTTTTGTTGGAAGAAAGTACTTCAAATTCTTTAAGGGATATTTGAGTGAAAAAAGTCGTAAATATGAAGCACTAAAAATTGTGCTTTATTTTACATAAAACGTTATCATCATTCTTACGGAAAAGACGGTTTTGCTGAAGTATTTAAAAGTTTAACTAGATAGATCTGAAAATAGTTTGTTAGACCATCAAAATAATTAAGACGTTCAAATTCGTTATTGGAATGTTTCAATTTTTTGCAGCTTATCATGTTTGAAATTCCTACATAATTATTATGATCCGCGACAAAATTATTTTTAGGTCTGTATCTATCTAAATTTTGGATATTTCAGAAGAATCGGTTCTTTCCTATGTTGATGCTATTTATTTAATGAAATTAACGGTAATTTCAATCGCTCCATATTATACTCTGCACGAAAATAGAAGGTTTCCGTATTTGTTGAATAATATCGGGACACGAAGGTATAACAGCAGCGTTTTTAAAACAGGGAATCACAAGATGGATGTCGTCCGATATATTTCAAGGAATATATCTCAGAAGAGATCCGGATGATTCCGGCTCGGTTTTCAACGTTTGCTTCCGACAAACATCAGTCTGTCCCTGGGATCCGCGTTATTCCGCACTCTCTTACGAGGATATGACCGCTCATTGTTTCCGATTTTCCACATTCCCGAACATTTTGCCATGCCGACGACTGCGATGATTAATATTGACGCGACTATACGTGGAGGCAGAGTCTGCGCTATAGCTAAATTACACGAACTTTAGTGCCCTCCTATCTGCCATGTCGGCAACGGGGTCCCTAGGGATTCCTTGGTTCGTTGACACGACAGTCAACGTCATAAGCCAGGACGACGTCTCATCCTGCCGCAGCATCGTTCGCTAAGCAACGTCGAGTATCCCTGTACTCTGTGCTTCAGATTAAATTAGAACTCCGGCATGTGCAGCAGCAAGTAGAACAACTGATCGGTGGTCATTTATAGTTTCCAACATTTATTAATACTCGCGAAAAATTATGATCAATTGTTTAATTACGTCAATAGACAATTATTCAAATCTACGAGCATCATCAATTCGGAGCAATTTCTGTACTTCTCTATTTCGCCTCGAATGGCAGGAAAACGCCATTACGAATATATATATATATATATATCTTCAAACGAAATTACATTATTCCGTACGTCCATATTACGCGCGATTTGACAGGTGCAATTTTTTCCTCTGCTTCTCGCACTTACATATGTTTCATATTTATTCATATCACCATTGTTTCCCATCGCGTGCTGAGAAAAAGGAGAAAAAAGAGAGAGGATGCAAGCCTTCAGGGAAAAGTTCGCACGTGTCGCAACACGCGGGGTGAAAAACCACGGGACTTATTCTTGGCATTTATGCGACGAATTCCGTATTGAGTTGGCGCGGCGTGAATGCGAACATCGATACTCGGTCATTTAATGCAGTGAGTGGTGCCTTCCGCGTTAGGAGAAGTAAAAAAAAGGAGGAAAGGAAAGAGAGAGAGAAAAAAGAAGAATCGGAGGTACATAGTCGGCGTAACGCGGAATCGATAGCCGAAGAATTACTAGGAGAGGGAACCGCGCGTGTGCGCGGCTGCGGAATAATTCAGTATTCTCGGCATAAGTGGCGCGCGCCGCGGAATGAACACATGCGATTCTGCCGGAGGGTGAACCTGCAAGAACCTGCCCGCGAGGCGGAAGAGAGAGAAAGAGAGAGAGAGAGAGAGAGAGAGCTTCCACCGCAAGCTCGTTAATTATACAAACGCCGTTCGTGCTCACCTCGACACAGCTTGCTGACGCGAATACTCGCGCTTTGCCCGCGCCGCTTTGTTGTGCGTCGATAAGCGATAAGGGTGCTTTCCACTTTCCAATTCCGACAGTCAACTGTCTTGACCGGCTATTTTTATCGCTTCGCTACGGTCAGGATGCGTTTATTGACCGTGGATGAGTAATGGTCGAAAATAGTTGGATAGAACGTTTTGCAAGACGTCCAGTGTCTTGCACTACACTGAAATTTATAATACTTTATATAACATACAGAGAGAAAAAATTTTGACCATAAGACTTCGTATTATATTGGACAAAAAGTCCAATTTTCGACTGTTAATTACATCTTATTAAATATTGTACTAAAAATAATAATAAGTCACTTCGGAAATGCATCAACGATCTTTCCATTGATAATTTCTCCCAGGCAGCCAATGGAATGGTCACTGATTCATCAACTAATGAAGATATTGGATGCAGAATTTTTTTGATATTTAATAAAATGTAATTAACTCTAGAGTTTGTTTAAATATATGTTATTATCCAAGATCGTTGATAATAGGGAGTTTTTGCAATACCGTTTGTCTAGATACGGTGAATGCTAAGGTCAGGTTATCTTCTTTTTAAGAATTAATTAAGAAAAGGATAACATGATTTTAGGGTTCACTGTATCTGGATTCAAAAAACTTTCTTGTTGCAAAAACTCTTTATAAAAGATGTCATTTTGACGTTAAAATAACGATAAATGTCAACTTGCTATCTGAGTAATGATTTAATAAACAAAATTTTGTTACACAAACGTTTTTGGCACTCTGTATAATTCTTAATTTCATTCTAAAAATTGTCTTTGTCTTGAAGCGATTTCAAAATAAAAATTTAATACGAAATGGAGTAATAATATTCTCTAATTATCGTAACCATAAATTAACGCTACGTGAAATCTCGCAATAATTTTTCATCGTTACACGTATTGTGTATGAGACAGGAGATAGAAATTCAGTATATACATACGTTCAGTACATACTACGTAGTTATGTATAAAATGATTAATGTTTTAGTTTCGCAAGTTGATATTAACGCTTTAACTGTTAACATAGTGAACGTGTACATTACTAATGCTGCAGACGCGAAACAAAACACATGTTTTATTCAGCCGTCATTTCATTAAACAATCGTAGCATTAATTAATAGTCAATAAATGAAAATGGCAGTTAATTGCCTCATGAAATAAGCATAAGTCTACAGACAGATTTACCGCCACACGTGTAAACAAATTGTAATCCCCGTACGTATGTATATGTAGAATCGACATAACATTTGCTAATGATTGAGTGCAAATATTTTCGGCCTGTTTGACTAGTAAATGTATATGTGGATCGTTAATTCGGAAACTTTAAGCGATCGTCATTAATCTTCGCGTATCGAGGACCGAAGTTCAGCATCGACGGGCGAATTCGGCGCGCGCTTAGTTACGTTGCAACAACGCTCGTGAGTATTGCTCGAGGTCCTTGACAGGATCCACCGGGAAGTTTAGACTGAGTTTACCCGTTAATGACTGGGTACATACCAGAGGATGTGCTCAGGTACGCCGGTGGCCACGTATTCGCCGATGTTGGCTCATCGGCTTCACGTTGATGAAGAGAGTACCAACGATACACCAAGCAAAGCGATAGAATCTTGTTAGCGGTGCCCATCCTTTTTCAACGCGTAGTACACAAGCGTATCCAATCAATGTTTCTCGACGAAGTTCGCTAGTATACGTGATTAAGTTTCGATAGTCGCCTCGTGAGTTTTAAAAGAATAGCACGCTCTGCTAATCTCATGAAAATATTGCATTAATCGGCGATATATCTGCGAGTATGCCTTGAAAAACTTTTTGTGTTGGAAATGGTTTATTCGAGTCCTTGTCAAAATTTTATGTTGTATTTTTAACACATAAAATGTTAATTTAACATAATGTGATTATGTTATTTAAATATTTTGTGTTAATTTGAATATTCAACATTTCTTAGTAAATTTCAAAGTAACACAATTTATGAATAAGTAAATATATAACATGAAAATGTATTTTTAAATATAAATTCTAAGATGAATGAATAAAATATGTGTTAATTTAACATTTCATAAATTTTAATTTTACTGGAAAAAAATGCTTTCACAATTTGCTTAAAAATTGTGTCAATATCATTTTTTTCAATATAATATTTGTGTTATATTTATCTTTCTGATATATTTATCTTAGGTTTAATTAACACAAAAATTTGAATGGACGTTTAGGACATAAATTTGTTAAATTTAACATAAATTTTCCAACTGCAGTGAGGAATAAATGGTTAAATAATTCGCCAGAAATAAATCTTTCAGAGTCACGTCCCTATATGGTGTATGGTTTTGCTGAAGTACCTAAAAATTTAGCTATATAAATGCAGATTTGAAAATAATTTTGTTGAGCTATCAAAATAATTATATAAGACGCGCAAACTGCAGAATGCTAGAAAGCCACTGTTTGCAGCATTGCTCTTCATGTTTGAGTTTCCTACGTAATTTTGATGGTCTAACAAAATTATCTTCAGCTGTATTTACCTAAATTTTTAGATATTTCAGCAAAATAATTCTTTTTGCGTATGTAATTCGCAATTTTATACAGTTTATCTACATAATAATATATATAAAAGATATTTCAAAACTTTTATTATTATATATAAATTAATTTGTGATAATTTTCATAAAAAGAAAAAATTTAATAAGAAGCGACCGCAAAAACTATTTCTTATTTCTAATAAATTTTATCCAAATACGACTGATATATTTTTTATTTCTCTAGAAATAAAATCAGAAACATAATTAATTCGTATAAAGGTAATACTAAAGTTCAATTCATTGAAGCTCTTTAAAGGTCATTATCGATCTGCGCAGGCTCATCTTACGCGTGTTATCCTCCAGAATGCCGCCGACTTTAATTCCGTTAAACTTCATTAAACGTATAGCACGATATATGCGGGGTAGCATACATCTACGAGCGAGAATCGTGCCGTCTTATCTGTGCAGTTAGATATCCGTGTGAGATCGCGTTCGTTTTATCGCCGGCTATGCAGCGCCGAGTACGAAAACTAACACAACAACCGCCGATTGCTTGTGTATCTTCACTGACGTGCGCGCGTTTTCGCGTCATTATTCAAACGGAGCGAGAACTTTAATCGTGAGAACTTTAATCACGCGATTCCAAAATTATCTAGCCGACGTAGGGAGGAACTTCGCAGAGTGGAAACGAGGAAAAGGAATTGCTTTGCGTCGCAATGATAAAGCGATTTTACTCGCACTTGACATTACGCTGCGGCCCTATTTGGAATTCTTCGAAGTTCGTAAGTCGACATGAAATAGGAGTTATCTCAGAGACTCGTGAATATCGCACCTGTCTAATTAAAGAAAATGGACGCGATTTTATCAAAAGGCACGGTTGACTTAATTCAATCGTATTTCAGCAGTGGAAAAGAAACTTCTTTTTACTTTATGATTTCATTATTGAGAAAGAACTAGCTAAAAATCAGATGGAATTTATTAAAAAGGATCTTGCTAGACGATGTTTTAAAATATACAGAATGATTAATATTTCAATTGTTTCTTTACATTCTATAAACTTTTAGATAGTTACACATTAAAAAAGATTTAAGCGTTTTCATTTGAATATATATATATATATATATATATATACAATGATGAAGTATTTAATTCTAATTGTTTTTTTAAATCTCGTATTTTACCTTGACATATGAAAATCGCGTATTTTTGTATTAATCCGCGTAGAGAAATAAGCGGATACGTTTAGCGCTTAAACGCGAATACGAAGCTCGGGCTGCACGCGCCGTGAGGAAAATCGATGCGCATAAAGTATTCTTCTCGCGTGCATGTGAAACACTGATACGTATTTGAATCTAATCGACGTAGGTGCGCTGGGCTGCCTGTAACCGGGCCTGCGACACTTTCAATGGTACTGGCGTTACGAATGATTGCACCACGTACATCGTACATATCGTATTCCAGCCGAGGCAGATACATACGCCATCTCGTACACAGGGTGTTCCAGTTTCCTCGCCTTTCCTTCCAGTCGCTTAACCTTCAACGAATGTATCGATCTTTTTTTTAAACAGAGATTTGATCGTCAAGTCGTAAGCTTTTGGATACTTTCAGTATCATCCACTGTATTTAAAGTTATATTTTTACGAAATTAATCCTTTGCACTTGAATGGCGACTCTCAGTCGCCACTTGGTTTTGATGCAGCAACTCGAGTGGCGAGTGAGAGACGACAATGACCGTTTATGTTCGATATATTTGGGCGAACTTCAAAGTACAAAAATATAACGGTTTTGTAACGTTAATTTATGCATATTTCATTTTATGTCAGCTGTAAGAAATTTTAATGAAAAATATACGTTGAGTACAAAGGGTTAATAGATGCTACTTGAAAGTATATAAAATAAAAGATATTGTTACATTCTCTTGAAATTTAACGTACCAAATTTTTTGACTTTAAATCGTTCGTGAAACAATTATCGATATTCAAACGTCGAATTTTTTAAATTCAATGTTTCCATAAAATTTTTAACACCGTGTGTAGTTGTGCTAAAGATCCCGGCAAGATTTACCGATTTACGTACGCTTTCGTTACGATAAATGGAGACTGTCGACTGCAAAAGAACCGATTCGATCCCGTCGCGTCGACCAGATCGGTATTCGCCGCACTATTATCGATTTCTCCTTACGTTTCTCAGTGATAAATATGTAGAAGCCCGCGTATTGCTTTATTGCAAATTGCGCTCACGCTCGCGGGAGTACTTGAATTCGAGATACCCTAGCTGGATCTCGCGAGACTGAGATTATCGATTCGGCACCTCCGTCGTTCCCAGGTGGCGAGCAAACTCCTATCTACTTTATGGCAAACTATACTTATTTATGATATACACGTTTAAAAATTTGTAACAAATGGACAAATTCCGTGAAATATTCAGTAGTTTAGTGCTTGAGAATGTAATCTTCATCTTTAATTTTAATTCCTTGATATCTTGTTTAGAAAATGTTAATGATTACTATGAAATATCTCACATTCAATTTTTAAACAAGATTTATGATTATTTGAGATATACGACGTGTAAATATGCACTTCGATTAATTAAGTTAATAAATCCGATTATTTCCTTAAATAGCAGATAGAAATAGGTATTGTATTTTGCTGAGCATTGTATAAGTCATAATACTTTCTCCCACGGTCCATGATATTTCTAAATTACCATTGTGATTAATAGAGTATGTTATTTACTTACACCCTTCTAAAAAATATATTAGCTCTCTTAAGGATAACGAAATAATTTAATTCTAACTGATAGCAACGAGCCCTCGAATGTCCACCACGGATGATGAGGGTACACCCCGTACGAAACGGGGAAGAGACTGATGACGAACAGAGTGAGAAAGAGAGGGGGGTACAAGGGGCATGAACGGGGTTGTAGGCAGGCGAGAAGCGAGTGTGTTGGGAGTTTGAAGCCCTTAATTGCTTTTTAAAACTTTCCAGTTCGAGCTTCTCCCTCTCCCTGGCATGATGGTGGCCCTCATCGCCACCCCTTCGTCGCACCCTTTGCATTCTACTTAGGAATGTTCAATATTAGTTTTCCCTATCGGGGTTGCGAACGCGCGTTCGGCTAAGACGACAGGCGAACAAGACGGATGCCAGAGGTGGAGGTGGAGAAAAACGGGGACGGCCGCATGGACTGATTCGTCGATAACTGGCCGTCGGTTTTTGCACTCCAGGCAATTAACGTTGCCTTCTAAAGAAGCTACTCACGGGTATCGGTTTGTCTATATTCTGAACATCAGGAGTCTCGTCCTTCTTTCAGCAAACTGTCCGTGCTGTCGAAGTTTCGCCGTGCTCCTCTCCTTTTTTTTTTTGCGGAAAGGAAGATATTTTCAACACGCTCAAAAGTTAGTTCGCAGAGAGCGCGGTTGCTTCCACCGTGTCAAAGTGGAACGATTGTCACCAGTGTTGATTCTTGAATTGTTCTCTAAGAGAGAAAATCGTTTGCGTTCGCAATTAGCTGAAATCTGTTGCGATTATCCATGTAATAAATTATATTTTATGCTAACAGAATTTACTTTGAGATACTCGAATAATTATAAATATTATTTTAATTACAAATGATCTTCATTTAAAAAATTACTATATTTTTGATATTTTGATACTGACGCTGAAAAAATATATCCTGAATTTATTATTAATTTTAATTTTGATAATTTCCAAATTCGAAACCGCCTTTTAAATTAATATGTTTAATGTCTCATTACTGAAAGATATCATTTTTAATTAAATTAAGAACAATCCCCAGGTCACAAGTTGAACGAATTATAATTAGATGTAACTTTATAATATTTATTTTACACAATTATAAGTTTTAACGATACGTTTCGTTTTTACTTAGTCTTGATCAGCCGAGGAAAATACATAATTATGTATCAAATTAGAGTAACAAAACAGATATAATAAAATACATTATGATCATAACTAATAATCAGGAATAAATAAAGTCGAAACTTATCGTATCGTTGAAACTTATAGGTGTGAATAATATAAATATTACATTGTTACACCTAGTTATAACTCGTTCAATTTGTGATCTGGGTTGTTCCTA